ATCATGAACTTCAAAAATTTAAAGAAATTCCTGCATTACTTTTCATAGCATATAAACTTTTCCTAATTACTAAGCAAATACTTATGCCGTTCTTCATTGTGAATTTTGTTGCAATTGAAGCTAATATTCTCATTTGCCTTGTATACAGTGGCATTTTTAGGACATGGATTTTAACATATAAACAACCAACAAATTTACCATTTTATGGGTCACATGGCATAACACAACTTTTTCCATTACCAGATGGGGTTCCGTTATCTTTAATGATTCTGTTCATTTTGTACTGATTTTAAAAATACCACTGCAGCAATGTCAAAGCATTAAAGTTCAGCAATGAATATAGTTATTGCATTATTGAATATACTTACAATATCTATGAATATCATTAATTTTCTGACGAATTACGTGGAGTCTCACATCATTTGAAATGAGAAAGAAAGTCACATGACTTCTGTAAGCACATTCATGCCATTGGTGGCAAAAAGTTTAGGAGTGGCATGTGATTGAAATAATAATGACCGTCAAATCCATTTAGTTCTTTGTAAGGTCCTCCTACTTTAGTTGTATGCGCTATGTCCGCTATCTCGGCTTCTTGTCCTTCATCTAAAGTCAGAGCTAAACCAACATTTGACTTGAGCAGCCATAGTTTTTACACTGACATGGTAGCATCTATTATATTGACTTTGACCTTATATGGAATTGCAACAAGAGATGTGTTTCTTCAAGATGGATGGAGATCACTTCATTCTTCAGAAAAAGGTGTTTCCAAAAGCATTAGTTTTGTAAAATGTACATTTGATTACTTCAAAACAAAGGAAATGATCTGAGTTAAATTCTGTGCAAGGTTTAACAACCTTTGCATAGGGGACAAGGTCATTGGGGAGACGTCTCAGTTTGGAAAATTGTGATTCAGTATTTTGTAACAACTCTATTTTATTTTACTTTTCATTTTGCAGCAATATCTTCTAAATTTAACTTTTTCCTTTTGCTAGATGAATCATTAAATTTATAAAACTATTATTGTGTCTTATATAAGTGTTATTAAAAATTAGAAGTATAACGAATTTATTATGAAATAATACAGTAAAGAAGATTTAGTCAACTTTGTAGAGCTAGTCAACTTTGTAGATGTAGTACTCTCAACCAAGTTTTTACAAACCTATTAAGGTACACACATAATAACATTGAATTTAAAAAATGTAAATCTACATGTAGCTAGACACACTGAAAAAGGTAAGGTGATGCTGTAAAAATGCTAGCAAAGCACAAATTAAATTTTGCAATGATGCATGTGACATTTTATCAATAAAATAATCATAAATAAGTAAGTACAATATTGACTGTGTGATACTGCAGAATTATCACTACTGTACCTGTCATGAACTTACTACAAATTGAGTAAAAATCATGACTTGCTTAAAGTGTAAACTAAAATCTCAAACGCGGCAAATACTATATGCATTAATTAAAGCACCATTGAGACTAGGTTATGGAAATTATTGCAAGAGGGGCAGTTGAGAGCAAAATGTAGCATGAGGCGAAGCTAAGTGATACATTTACGTCGAGACTGCTCTGAGTACAATAACTTCCATCACCTACAAATCAAAAGTGCTTTGATTGGTTTGTAGTGGCGTGTTGGCCGATCAAATTTCATTTCAAAAGTCGCATAAGTGGCCAGGTGAAAGGCGATAATGGCAGAAGAATTTATCGATCCTCCACAGAAAAAGGCCAAACTTTCATTGAAATTTAAGAAACCACACTGTGAAGTGCAGAACACAAGGTTGTTGTCTCCAAAAAGCCAAGAGGTCCTAGCAGAAGCTGCCAAAGGAGCTGTTCCCGCGAACACAAAGAAGTGCACTTCCTGGGCCGTCAAGGTTACGGGATACAGTTTATGAATAATTTATTAGCTGTAGTCAATTGTTTTTTCATTTGTTATCTTTTTAAAAATGACACTTCTTTC